ACTTCTTCAATTTTATTACAAAGTATTGTTTGAATTGATGATTTTTCCTTAAGAAAGTTGTTACTCTGTTTATCATTAGTAAAATCATACAATTATCAGGTCAATTCTGGGTTTTAAAATTTCTTTAGGGTGTTCTTAGGATCTTTTAGATATAAGATTTTATAAAAAAAAAATTGGGAGTCTTTTAAGTTTACGATTTAGAGATAAAATTATGATCATGACATTATTATAATCTAATGTGATTTTGGTCAAAATTTTTATACTTATTTTAAAAATTCACCTTGAGAGAAAATTTCATAAGAAAGATACCTCAATTTCATAGCTTGAATTAAACTCTAAACTAAATCTCTACTTAAAATAATTAAAAGATAATTAAAATGAGGTTTGTACAAATAATTGATGGAAAAAAGTTCTAAGTAAATAATAAATACGCATTTTTCTAATTATTGTTCTTTAGTTAGACATAACAATTTCTATTTTTTCTGCTACTTTAAATATTTACCGCATAAAAAGACTTTAGTATGCACCAAAACATATATGAAAAATATTTCTATATTTTTAAGGGATTCGTTTTAAATTATTTTTTATATTTTCTTTTTATGCGTTTCTTAAAAAATATTAATTAAGAAGAGTTTTTATAATTTTATTTTGATTTATGGATATAACATCTCTTCATATTATATTACTCAATAATCATAATATTAAAAAACAATTACTAGTACAATGGCTAAACTGGAAAATTTAAAATAACGAAAAATAATTTAAGATATCTAATTGCAATTCTTTTCAATAATTAAATCTAACTATAGTGCACGTGTTGAGAACTTTTTTTTCTGACTTTTGAATAATTAATTATTCTGAATATTGTCAGAAAAAAAAAGATAATATATGGATGAGAGAACTTTGACTATTAGAAGCTGAGGTACATTAAATTCCAGATCTAGTTAAGGAAAATGTTTTTATTATTTATTTATTTTTGAAATAATTATTTTTGTAAGATGTTTAATTCATTTAAGATGTTTGATAAATATGTATAAATATTATCTCAAGAGCACGAATCTTCATATTCATCGCTTTTTATGTTGAAATTTTATTTTTATTTTTTTGATCCGTCTTTTTTATGTTATTTTTATGTCTTAAGAAAGAAATCTCTAGTCGAATTCATTTCTAATTTGAAGTTTTTGTTCAATATGAAATTCGAACGAAAGATTTGATACAGTTTAAAATGACAAATAGGAATGATATATAGTATAACTTAATAAATTTTTGGAGAATTGAATAAAATCTTTAATCTCCGATTAAGAACAAAAAATTAAAATAATAAGATTCAATATACTTACCCACATTATATTTTTGAAAAAAAATGATATGTTATGAAGGTTTATAGAAAAGCTAGAACACTTCTCATTCTTTGAAAATGACATAATACCAAATTTATTCAAAAAAAAAGATAATATAAATTACAACTAGCCTTAAATATCCAACAATAAATTTTCTTTTTGTCTTTTTATATGTATTTATAAAAACCTAATCATTTTGTCACTTACTTTTTTATTTTATTTCTATAGTTCTCTAAACAATATTCGATAATCATATAAGATTTGATAAAATTTAAATTTACTCACATTACAGAATTCATCTTTAAAAGTGACACTCCTAGTATGGTTTTTTTTATTCATAAGAATTTAAACTCAAAATCTTTTATTAAAAACAATATTTTTGTCGATCATATTATTCTTGCAATCTCACTTTGGCCTTTTTTTTGTAGGGTTTATAAAAAATAATGTCTAATGCACAAAATTAGGGTAATGTTTAATATATTGTATCCTCCATAGATTCTACTCGTAAAATTATATTAAATAGGGAAATTGCACAAGTATCCCATCAATCTATGCCCAAAATTCAAGAGACACACTTATACTATAATACTAAGGTCCTATTACTTCCCTGAACTTATTTTATTAGTAATTTTCTATCCTTTTCGGCCTATATGACACTAGCTTGAAAAAAAATCAACCAACGTTGAACCCACAAGATAGTGCCACGTAGGCCAAAAAGGGATAGAAAATTACTTATAAATTAAGTTCAGGGGGCAGTATGATCTTACTATAGTATAAGTGTACCTCTGAGATTTCGAGCATAGATTGAGAGAGTACTTATGCCTTATCCCTATTAAATATATTATTATTTGATAAAGGATTAAAATACATCATTATCGTATTTGGCAAGAAAACAATATCACTAATAAAATAAAATAAAAAAAACTAAACAATTTTGACTACCACATTATGGCTTGCTCTTTGACAAAAATTTATTGGTTAGAAAATTGATGGAGAATTTTTTGTCATAATTATATTGATTGCTTGAGTGTAGTGGATACTTATTTATTATGTTAAATGTTAAAAGTTATAATGAATCCATTCTTTTGTTAGGTAGTATTTAAAAACAAGACATTTTTATAATCAAGTTTTCTTTCTATTTATTGACATGTTGGACCCATTTGCCTATCACTAACATTTTTTCGAATTTCGATAAAGTGATAAATATTTTTTTATTTTTAATCAGAGGTTTTGAGTGAGCATATTATCCCCAATACGAAATTTCTTAATGTAAATTCAAATTTAATCGAACTTTAATATAAATAACAAACACAAGAAGAAGAAAAAAGATATTTTCTAAGATTTTATTTTGATCTTAAGTAGAAATGTTAATAATTTATATGAAATAGTAATTCACACTATGTGTTTATAATAAATCTAAGTAAAGATATGTATCTGAATATAAATTTATCATTATTACTTTATCTTATGACTATTATAGCATGTTTAATCAAACATATTAATCTCTGAGATAAATAATTATTTACAAATTTGATAAATACTTTTAGCTTTCAAAAGCAGGATAAAATATGTATTTAAACTAAATTATTTTGATTTTGGTAAAAATATTGAGTATAAGTAAATATATATTACTATATTTAGAAAAAAGGAAGATGTATACTTGAGTTATTTGTAAGTTATCCTGTGAAAGTTAATGAGATAATTATATAATATAAGATGAAGAATCAACAAACTATGATATGGTCCAAGTGGTCAAAGATTTAATTTAATCAATATTTTGGGATTTTCTTTAATTTATTTTCTAGTCAAACTCACTCCTTTTTTTAAGTTACATAAAAGTTAAAAATGTCAAACTATATTTACTAGTCGCGGTTCATAAAAATAGTTATCTCAAATTATTTACTAATTAAAGTTTAAGTTTTCTTTGTATTTAATTACTATCTTTATTGTTCTTGAATACTACAAACACCTTAATTATTTTGTGATATTATGAATAACTAATACTCTCTTCGTCCGGAATTGTTTGTCATGTTGTGCTTATCGAAAGTCAATTTGACTAATTTTCAAAGGTAAATTGAACCACATTAATTCGATATTTTAAACAAAAAAAGTAGAGATTCTAAAACTATATAAAAAGTATTATAAATTACAATTTTTTGCATATTAATATGATGAAAAAATACATCTTAAAATATTAGTCAAAGTTTTTATATTTTGACCCTAAAAAAAGAAATCATGACAAAAAATATCGGACGAAGAGAATAATAGATAAAAAAAGTATTAAAAAATCTTTTTAATAATATTTATTAATTGACGTATAAAAAAGAATTACGACAGATAATAAAAAATAAGAAAATAATAGTAGTCGATCAAGTAACTTATTCGAACATTGTGAACTCATTCCTGCTTTTGCAATATCAGCGCATCTTGTATCACATAATCGGTTGTGCTCTGCCTTTTGAATTCTTGTTTCTTTTTAATTACTTTAATTTTTTTGAAAATAGTTGTAATATTCTCTATAATGAGTTCATGTTATACATATAATCTTTTTGGAAAATAAAATAAAATAAAATACCATTTCCATCTATAAATCAACATAAGTTTATTGACCCAAAAATGTTAAAAATACAATTGGATTGTCAAATTAATTGACTTTTTGCAAACACCAAAAAGTCTTGAAAAGACATATCCAAATTTTAGTTTATTTACAACTTTGGAATTGGGATTTGTAGTTCTATTAGTGAAGTTTTTGCCACTTTTACAGCTAATATATATATATATATATATATATATATATATATATATATAT